GACCAAAGTATCTGAGCTTGAGCTTCATTATCAATCCTTCCAATGAGCAGTCAGGGTTGACCATTAGGTGGCAGCCAAGAGTTCACCTCCCTTGACTGCAATGTGGAGGTCACCTGGATTTGTGTTGCTGGATGCAATCATTGTGTAAGTGTTCCTTAGATTTTGGCATATGAGAGGTATAGGTTAAGATATGGGATTAATTTAATTTTTCCCAAATGATTATCAACTGTTGGCCAGTCAGTCTATCAACCACTAGGTAACAGCAAAGAGTTAGAAGGCTTTTTGTATCTCTTGGCTGCCATCTAATGTGGATTTATGAAGCTGAGATGCAGCTGGTGGCTAAGTGCTATTGAAGAGTTGCAGTTTGAGAAAGGGGTTTGCAGAGTATGTGTGGGTGGATATGCTGATCCACCCTTTAAAATACGGTAAATAAAATGGCTACAGAAGCTGAGGTTCCAGTTTCCGTCACTGTCAGGTAAATCTAGAGGAAAGCCTTCTGTCCATCCCCACCTCAAATTCATATAGAAAGCTTCTCAGATCACTCATTCCACAGCATGGCATGAATAGAACTGGTATCCAAAACCAGGACTGGCCGATGCTCAAGGTAGCAATCACACTTAGGTTGTTCAGTCAACCTACCTGTAACAGAAAGGGAAGTGGCTGCAGAAGTTGAGGTTCCAGTCTCCCTCACAGCCAAAACAGCACTGCAGGCAGGCACAGAACTCAGCAACCAAACAGAAGGGGCCAATCTCTCAGCAGACCTGCTGGATCAGATACATCTGAACAGATTGCTGACCATCTCAGGCCACCTCCTCTTCCATGCACCTTTTCTAGGCTGTCTTCTTGGAATATCTGGGGCCAACGTAAGAAGGAAAACACCACTTCCATGCTGAAACACTTAAGTTCTCTTTGGGCTGCTGTAGCTGCAGAATGACAATGAGAGACAGAGGGAGAGAAGGAACATTGTGAGGGCATGACCTGGGCAAATGGTAAGTGGGCGTCTTGGCACCAGGATAGGGAGACTGTAGATACATTGTTTGCCTGAGTGACTAGATTTTAGGACAGTGTTCCTCAACCTATTGTTTTGCAGAAGTGTTGGGACATCTGGAGAATATCAGAAAGAGAGAGGATAGGCTAATGATTTGTCTGAATCTCATTCATTTCGATGGCAGGATTGAAGATTTGTGGATTGTAGGCCATAGTCTAACAGAGCCTAACATACATATAAGGCTACTAAAATGGAAGAACTGTAGTGCATTTAACCTTAATTTGAATTATGGCAAACATCTTATAAAAATGCACCCCATGTTTGATAGTTTTTTCTTTATTTAAAACATTTGTATAGCCACCTATCTTAAAACCAAACTTTGGGGGGCTCACAACCCAAGAATAAAACAATGCATACAGCAATAAAAACAGAAGAAACAATAAAACCAAGAAGAGAAAAACCTGGTGCCCCAACCACACTTCCCTGATGCAACCCACAACACTCCGCTCTGACCTCATTCAATCCTAATGCTTGGGGGAACAGCCAGGTTTTAAGCATTCTCCAGAAGGTGAAAAGGGTGGGGGGCTATTGGATCACAAGGAGGAGGGTGTTCCATTGGGCAGGGGCTGCAAGGGAGAAGGCACACTTCCGAGGACCCACAAGGTAGCAATATTTCAGGTAAGGGTACTGCATAAGTTTTATAAGGTTGTGTAGGAATTTAACTATGAATCATCTTATTATTTAGGGTAAATGCAGTTCATGGTAAGTGCAATTATGTAATGGGCTCCTGGAGATTTTCAAACAGAAGCTGCACAAATATTTCTTAGGTATGCTCTACTCTGGATTTATTATGCTGAGCAGATTAGGTGGCCTACCAAATTCATTCCAGCTTTGTAACTTTGTTTATATAAGCTGATCGAGACTCATTCTCAATATATTGACATAGAATTGTGACTTACTGGAAGCAATATACTGGAAACTAAACCAAATATTACTACTTTTGCAAGCAAAAGAATTCAAGAAGGAATTGAACCATCAGAAATTGATCCATGTTTTCCTGAATACAGATAAATTTCTATGGAACATTATTCCTAAATGATTATACTATCAAAACATAATAAGAAATGCAGCCATAAGCCATATAAGTCACTAGAACTATAAAATGAGCATACTCAAGACAGAGTATTTTATGATAATTAATCAAATCAATGGTATATTTAATTTATTTAAATATTTATATGCTATTTGTAGCTAAAACAGCTTACAGAATTATACAGCAATAAAAATAATTTTTAAAAATCAAACAGTATCAAACTATGTACTGTAAAAGAACAAAGGGAGCTAAACAAACTTTCTTAACA